CACAACAGTTTTAGTGGGTCCTTCTTTTGCCTTCTTTTGAAGTTTCTTGGGAAAGTTTTTAAATGAAGCTATTTGAGTTAGAAGTTTCTAGGTAGAAAAAGTTCTGATAGCTGAGTAGCAGCCGGTCCCCGGCTGAAGGCCATGCAAATAAGAAAAGTCTTTTCATGGGCCTCCCTGGTGGAGCAGCGGTTGAGCACTGGGTTGCGAAGCTGCCCGCAGCCTCTGCAGCACCGGTTCGATCCCCGGCTGCTCCCTGGCCACAGGAGGAGGGTCCCACATGGCGCGCAGACCTCTCCTGCCGCCCGTTGCTCCCCTCAGCAGTGTGCTTCGGTCCTTCTGCCTGCTCTGCTCCCCGCTCTGGCTCTGGTGAATTCTCTCACCCTCCCGTGCTTCTGACTGTACCCATTGCTTGTATAAATAAATAAATAAATCTTTTTAAAAAAATTAAAAAAAAAAAAAAGAAAAGTCTTTTCATGCTTAGGCTTTGGCTGATAGGCATGTACTGGCGGCTCTCTACTGTCTTAGGTTATTAACTGAAACAATGAGTTTTAGTGTAAGACTTAGTTTTTTTTTATTAACCTTGAAGGTTGCCTTCTTGCTGAGAGCACGTAGAGGCCAAAAGTCTATGGAAAGAGGGATGCACTGATTGTTTCTGCTTTGTTTCTATGCACATGATAATGTCATCTCACTGCTTGCTAAAAATGTATAAATAAAGAACCTGCTGAGCCCCTCAGTAGAAGATACTTGCACCTCATCCAGGGTCAGTGTCTCCTCACTACCTCATCCCATTCCCCTCAGCCCTTAAGCTTCAGCCCCTTACAGGTCACCGAGGCCGTCTCATCCTTTCAGGAACCCCTGACACGACATTTTGCTGGGGGCTGGTCCCCGGCAAGTGACGCCTGAACAGGGACTTGAAAGGTAATCCTTCTTTCCTTTTCTGGAATGGCTAGGATCTGCTCCTGGGTAATTCGCATACCCCCCTGGAGAGACTAAGCAGGGTTAAGAAAAGCAGTAATTCAGAACCTAATAAGGCGAGTGGGTGTCTTATTAGTATTGAGATGTTATAGGTCATATTGAGTCTAGGAAAAGAGGACCCTTTATTGATATAGTTAAGTATATATTTGCAAAAAGACGCCTTAAGACCTCTCATACACAATTAGCTAGCTTCCTAAATTTTGTTGAAATGTGTTGTCCTTGGTTTCCAAGGGACAGTACTCTGGATGTAAAAACGTGGGCCAGAGTAGGAGAGGAAATGACAACCTATTATACTCTCCATGGACCCGAAAAGGTCCCCATAGATGCCTTTTCACTATGGGGTCTGCTACAGGATATGCTAGATCAAGGGTCTGAATTAAAGAAAATAAATAAAAAACTCAAAAAATTATGGCTGTCTGTATTCCTAAAGAACTTCAAAGAGGACTCAGCTGACAGCCCTGTATTAATAAAACAATTGCCTGAACAGATAGGTTGTTTTTGCCTGGCTGGAGGCAAAATAAAAGATGCAAAACAAAAGGTAAAAGAAAAAATAGCCTGCAGTATTAGAGAAAGTCATCAGGATTCTTGGGATAATGAAATTATTTTTCAAAAGCCAAAAGTTGATTCTAGAGCCAATACTGACCTCTTTGCAGAGGCATCGGCAACCAATTATGAGACCATTCCAAAATCCAGCCCAAATTTCCAGCCCAGACTTGGCTAAAATTGTTAAGAGATAAAAATAAAAACTCAAAAACAAGTAAGAGATAATGTGTCATGATCCTAAATGAAAAAAAAAAAAAAATGCTCCAATCTTTTCCTGTTAATTATTTGGGGAGGAGGCTAGGTTCCCCCCAGTGGAGTTTTGCCATTTGTTTCTTTTAAAATAAATAAATAAATAAGGTATTTCTAAATAATAGTATTCAAAATTCATTCACAATTGGTAAAGTGATAAAAAGTGGTTAAATGTGACTATATGAGACTATATGACTATAATATGACTAAAAAGTTTTTATTAAAATAGTATAAACCGGGCCTCCCCAGTGGCGCAGTGATTGAGCGCTAGGTTGCGAAGCTGCCTGCAGCCTCTGCAGTGCCGGTTCGATCCCCGGCTGCTCCCCAGCCACCAGAGGAGGGTCCCACATGGCACGCAGACCTCTCCTGCCGCCCGCTGCTCCCCTCAGCAGTGTACTTCGGTCCCTCTGCCTGCTCTGCTCCCCGCTCTGACTCTGGTGAATTCTCTCACCCTCCCGCGCTTCTGACTGTACCCAGTGCATGTATAAATAAATAAATAAATCTTAAAAAAAAAAAAAATAGTATAAACCCACTGCAGTGGGCGGGTGGGCACTGCCCTTGGTCTCAACAAGCAGCTGCCTGGACTTTTTCTCCAGTGTTGGGATCACTGGCAGGTCTCTACTGCCTTCCTGCTGTGGGGGACTGAACTTTTCTATTGTCCACCTTAAAAAACTATTTTGGTTCATTCTACAAAAAAAGTTCTATTTCCCTGTGTTTCTCTGATTTTAAAGTCTAAATTGTCTTAGGCAAAACTGTTGAGTTACTTTTGACTTGCTAACAAGCTATACAGAATACTTATTGGTTCAATAAAAGCTTTTAAATTTACTTATTGGACCTGTAAAAGGTTAAGTTTCTTGTTAAAACTAACTAACCTGGTAAAATATAAAGTGGTAATACAGACATTTTTGAGCTAAATTCTAAACTTCAGTATATTCACGCATATTGATAAAATAACTATCTCTCAAAATATACATACATGGCCAAAATTTTAAACGTACATCAAGAGATCTCTGTCTCTGTTTGTGTCTGTCTTTGTGTTTTTGTTTTGTTTTGTTTTATACCTCTGGAGGACTAATCATAAACGGCCCCTATATAAGTTCTCATAAAAAAAAATTTTGATATCATGATCCAAAATTTTTAATATACAAAAACTAGTTCAAATTTTATGATATAATTCAAAGCATATATGCCTTAAAGTTATAGTGCTAAATATTAATAATCTACTCTGTGTAAATGTATCTTTAAAGTATTTTTCTTTCCTTAACTAAAAACGTAAATATACTTATATATGTAAATTTTTTTGTCATATTAACTTTACCAAGTGCAACTAAGCTATACTGTTTTTAAGGCAATTTTAAAAATCTGCAATATTTAAAGTAGCATTTTGGGGTGGTGAACACACAAAGCACCTCCTTATGTTCTGGACTACTGAAAGAAAAACACCATTATGATTTGTTGAAAGTTTCAGTAATGTCTGAAAAAAAGAGGAAGAGCAATTGATGACTGATGGTAAATTAAAAAAAGAAGAAAAGGGAGAGTAGTTTTGTCTAAAAATTAAAATGTCTGGTTGTGCAAAAATGTGGAAGAATAGAAAAAAAGCTAAAATTGAGGGTATGTAGTAAGTTGTAGGTTTGAGGGAAAGTGAATTTTATTTGCCTTGGTTTATAAAACCTGCAAATAATGGGTTTAAAAAATAATATGTTGGAAATTTGACTGTATTGCATTGATTAATTTATTCATTTGATGGAAAAAAGACTAATTAATATTAAAGCTTGCTTTCATGTGGCCACATAGGCCATTTCAGTAAAATTGTCAACATTGTAATGCTGAACTAAGCCAGTACCTTCATAGAGATTTAATATTGTTGTTTCTGTTGTTTTTCTGATATTTATGGCAAAGCTTCCCAGAAATCTAAATTCAAGTACAAATTTGTTAGCCTGTCATTTGGCTGATGCAAGGAAATTTTGTGGAACCTCAGTAGAGCTCCTGAGACACTCCACAAAGTTTCTCCCTTTCCTCTGGGGAAAGGCGTTAGATGAATTTGTTCTATTTGGCTTTGGCTTACCCAGTGAAGTAAAACTGGAAGGGAAGCATTGTCACTTGGGAAAATGGTAAAACTTTGGCATGTACAGAAATGTTAACACTGGTTTTCTAAAATGTGTATAAAACCTCTCAGTACATGGTATGTATGTAAATTGTCATTGGTAATCGTCACCTTGTGATATTGTATACTTCAATTGTTTATTGTTTATTGTTTATTAATTGTTATTCCAGACATTGTTTCTGAAAAAATAGGGGGGAAAAAAAGACCTCAACAGATTCCTTTTGATGAAACTGTTGAGAGTACAAATTTCCTACATAAGACTGAATACACCTGATATTTTCTAAGTTTTTTTTGACATAATACTGGTAATTTTTTTTTTTTGTATTTTGTTCTGAATCCACAAAGCTTTCTTGTTTTGGTGACCAGGATCTGCAGCAAGATTGCAATTTTTTCCCAGAAAAGCTAACTTGTGTTTGCATTTTCTCTCCCCTTGATACCAACACAGCATAAAAATAGTGGTAGTAATCTTTTACTACTTAGCTCAGAGTCTGTTTTTACATAACTTCCATCAGGATTTTGTCTGTTTAAACAAACAAATTTGGACATGAGTTTAATTGTGTGGCTTTGTGTGGAGTTCTTCCAAAAAGTTATAACAGAGCTAAACCAAGAAGAGGAGAACCTGTTTGCTTTGTTTGTAGGGTTCCAGAAACCTCCAAAAAAGGTGAGGAAGCTGCCTCTATTGGCAGGACTGGACAAACTGGCCAACAAAAAAGTCCTGGTACCCTCAAGAAGAAGAAAGCCCAGGTGGAGTCTGATGATACCAACTTTGTTCCTGAAGCCTACATAGACCAATGCCAACGGTTCACTCGGATCCTATATGGAGTATTCCAACAAAGCCAGCTAAAATTGCTGTTTAGTTATTCTGTCCTGTGATTGTATGCAAAATAGGTAGTATGGTTTAAAAGTTAATTTAGTTTACAAACTTTTGCTATGCTGTTAAAGTTTGGGATCAAGGTTGGGAGAACTTGTGTTTTACATAAATTAAACCCTTTTAAGGTTTTTTTTTTTTCTGAGATTTTGACATATGTGCTGTCTTGTTTTGGCTAATGCCTCCAGATTTTTTTTGACTTGGACTGATGAACTGTTTTTCCAGAAATGGAGGACTTTTGCTTTCCACAACGGACAATACCTGGAGTGACTGGTTTTCTTTCACACTGAAACCTGGTAAAATTTTCATCTGAGACTGCATTCCAACATCCATATATTCGATCTTCATCACCATGGAAATGATGGCCTAAAACAAAAAAGGGGGAGATGCTGCAGGGGGTCTTGTTGCCCCAGCCAGATAGGATACTGACAAGCAGCAAAGAGAAAGGGCCTCACACCGTGGGGCTGAATATCTGGCATCCCTTTGCTTTTTGTTCTTGGACATAGAGAAAAATTTATCAGAAAGTATATTCGGCAATAAATTATATGTATCAGCATACTGTAAGTAATGGCAAGGAGAATTGTCTGTTTAGAAATTAGTTGTTGGACAATCTAGAGGCGGATCAACATGGCAGCAAGGAAACGCTGTGAGTAAGATCTCCCATTAAAAAAAAGTTAATAGGGAGGAAAAGCGGCAGGTCCCAGTGAGAACTGAGACATGGAAGATAAACTGACGACTCCAGCAAACTACCCGAAGAAGAAAGTTGCCATAAAAGAGGACTAGAAGGGAGGAAAGCTCAGAACCCTGCTACCCTCCCCCATCCACAAAGTCGGCACTCTCTGACCAACAGAAAGGAGGAAAAAACAAGGACAACACAAAAAAGGAAAACTACAGGCCAATGTCCCTAATGAACACTGATGCAAAAAATCTCAATAAAATTTTAGCTATCAGAATCCAACAATGTATTCATAAGATAATTCATCACGACCAAGTAGGATTCATTCCAGGGACACAAGGATGGTTCAACATCCAAAAATCAATCAACGTTATCCAACACATCAACAAAAAGAAATATAAAAACCATATGATAATATCAATAGATGCTGACAAAGCTTTCGACAAAGTGCAACACCCATTCATGATAAAAGCCCTTGAAATTCTTGGGATACAAGGAACATACCTCAACATCATAAAGGCCATATATGACAAGCCAACAGCCAGTATCATTCTCAATGGTGAAAAGCTGAAAGCATTCCCATTAAGATCTAGAACAAGACAAGGATGTCCACTCTCACCATTGCTTTTCAATATAATAATGGAAGTCCTAGGCAGAGCAATTAGACAAGAGAAAGACATACAAGGAATCCAAATAGGAAAAGAAGAAGTCAAACTCTCACTATTTGCAGACGATATGATAATATACATAGAGAACCCCAAAAACTCCACAGAAAAACTAATTCAACTCATCAATCAGTTCAGTAAAGTGGCAGGATACAAAATCAACATGCAAAAATCAGCAGCCTTCCTGTATACACCAATAATAAATCTGAAGAAGAAGAAATCAAAAAAACCATCTCTTTTATTATCAAAACAAAAAATAAATCAAATACTTGGGAATAAATCTAACAAAAGAGGTAAAGGACCTATACAAAGAAAACTATAAAACACTGTTAAAAGAAATAGAAGAAGACACAAAGAGATGGAAAGACATCCCCTGCTCATGGATTGGAAGAATAAACATTATTAAAATGGCCATCCTACCAAAAGCAATATACAGATTCAATGCTATTCCAATCAAAATTTCAATGTCATTCTTCAAAGAAATAGAACAATTATTGATGAAATTCATATGGAATCACCAAAACCCCCGAATAGCCAAAGCTCTCCTGAAAAAAAAAGAAGGGAATGGAGGCATCACACTTCCAGACTTCACACTATACTACAAAGCCATAATCATCAAAACTGCATGGTATTGGACCAAGAACAGACACACAGACCAATGGAATCGAATAGAAAATCCAGAAATAAACCCACAGATTTATGGTCAACTAATCTTTGACAATGGAGCAAAGACTATGCATTGGAGCAAAGAAAGTTTGTTCAATAAATGGTGCTGGGAAAACTGGGTTGCTACATGCAAAAGAATGAAGCTCAACTACTACCTCACACCATGCACAAAAATCAACTCAAAATGGATTAAAGAACTGGACATAAGACCTGAAACCATAAACTACATAGAAGGAAATGTAGGCGAAACACTACGTGATATGCACATCAAAGACATCTTTACAGACACATCACCCAAAGCAGTGATAGTGAAGGCAGAGATAAACAGCTGGGACTACATCAAATTAAAGAGCTTCTTCACAGCAAAAGACACAATAACAAAAACAAAGAGAAACCCCACCGACTGGGAGAACATTTTTGCACACAACACTAATGATAAAGGACTGATCACAAAAATATGCAAAGAGCTGATGAGACTCAACAACAACAAAGAAAATAATCCTGTCAAAAAATGGACAGAAGAGCTAAAAAGAAAATTCTCTGAAGAGGAAATGCAAATGGCCAACAAGCATATGAAAAAATGTTCAACATAACTTGTAATCAGGGAAATGTAGATCAAAAGTGCAATGAGATACCATCTTACACCATAGAGAATGGCACATATTAAAAAAACTAGCAACAACAAATGTTAGCAAAGTTGTGGAGAAAAAGGAACTGTCCTGCACTGCTGGTGGGAGTGCAAACTGGTCCAACCACTATGGAGAGCTGTATGGAGATTTCTGGACCTACTAAACATAGAGCTTCCATATGATCCAGCAATTCCACTCCTAGGTATTTACCAAATGACACAGAAACATCAATTCCAAAGAGCACCTGCACCCCTATGTTTATAGCAGCACTATTTACAATAGCTAAGCTTTGGAAACAACCCAAATGCCAAAAATAGATGACTGGATCAAGAAGATGTGGTACATAAACGCCATTGAATATTACTCAACATTCAAAAAAGATAAACACATGCAATTTGCAGCAACATGGATGGAGCTGGAAGGGATCATGCTCAGCGAAATAAGCCAGAAAGAAAAAGAAAAATACCAGATGGTCTCACTCATAGCAGGAATCGAGAAAACTTAAGGGACCAGGAAAAAGAATAAGTATAAGAAAGAAAATATGCAAATCAACAAACAACTATGAACCAGAGACATTCTATGGGAGTTGGGGTGTAGGGAAAGTAGGGCTTGGGGGTCAAAATGGGGGGGTTGTAATTGTATGGGGAATATAAAAATAAAATTTAAATAAAAAAATAAAATAAAATTCCTTTCCATTAAAGGTCTTACATGTTTTGTCTTGGTGCAGCAGATGGCAGAGTATGGGAGAGTTAGATGGTTAAGGGGAGTCCTTAACCCCTCCTTACCAGGACATCCCCCTCATTTCCCCAATGCTGGGATGTCAAGGAGATTCAGGGGGCCAAGAGGAGGGCAGAGCAAGGACTGAGCCACCCTGCAGGACCAGCCCCGGGGGCTGATTCTGGGGCTCCATGGCCCCAATCCCTGCAGGCAGGTCAGAGTCGGCCCCCCTCACATCTCCAGGCTGCTGACAGCACCTCTGTGCCATGACCCTGCAGACACCACTCAGGATAGCATGAAGAAAAAGAAATGAACAGCAAAATTAAGTGGAATCTAAAAAAGATAGAAAAAATTTTAAAATCATGTTTATTTTTACAGACACTTCAAGGGACATGGAATCCTTGTCTGACAGCTCATTGTTATCACGCTCTTGACTGTCACGGAGTTACACTGGCGCACCTGTTTATTGTGAGAAAACAGCCACTGATGAATTTATTGCCTTAATTTCTTAATGGCTTGTACAAAATCACTTTCCTACTTTGTACCTAAAACAAAGATCTGGCATCTGGTTATGCATTCCACCCACCAGACAACTCTGCCTGGCCCCGCGAGGGGGAGTAAGAGTTGACCAGGCTCTCCTTCAGTCCCTTAGGATGGGCTGAACTAGAACCAGGGAACCAACAATGTTATGGCAGCTTCCCAGAGAAATTACATGGCACTCAGAGAGGTGGAAAGAGAGATATTTAATTGTCACACCAGTGGGCTCAGTGGGATCGCTCCCCAAAGGGCTGAGCACCCTGAACAAGAATGGCAAGGCTTTCTACAGTTTGTAAGAGAAACTTGCTATACCATCCATCATAGCATAAGCATTCTTTATTGTTAGGAAGGCGGTTCAAGGGAGTCATGGCTACCACCACGGACAAGCCGTGCGGTACACCCAGCAAGTTCTTTGCTTCAGCAAGCAGCAGAATCAAAGTGGTAGACTCCCCCGAGCAGCAGATTTGGGAAGGCAACAGAAACTAAGCATCAGACTCCCCCAAGCAACAGGCTTGGGAAACGTCATGCTTCAGTTTATCATTGTGTTTTAAATCAGGGGGTCTTCAATGGATCGAGAAGGTGTGGTCCACATATGCAGTGGAATATTACACAGTGATCAAAAACAAAAACTCATGCCATTTAGGAAATATGGATGGGGTAGGAAGGGATAATAAGCTTGATAAGTAAGAAGGAAAAAATAAATATCAGATGGTTTCCCTTATATATGGGATATACAGAAATCAAACAAGGGATCAGAATAAAGACAAAACTTGCAGCCTGATCATAGATCTGAGGCACACAGCAGGAGAGGGAAGAGCACAAGGGACTGTAGTGATGGATCATGGGTGCTATGGTGATGAGAGAATGACAAGGACTACACCTGAGAGAGAAATCAAATATTATACAAAAATTAATAATGATGTAAGAGAATAAATGGATTTAATAAAAATTTTTATATCAATCACTGTTAGCTAGAAAACAAACAAATTAAATAAAGCAGAGGATCTTGAAGTTACAAAATGGGGGGGGGGGAAAAATCCAATAACATTTAGTCCCACACAAGGTAGAGCGCTCATTCTATGAAGGAAAATAATATTGAAGAAATTCGGGAGAGTTACATTAAGTGATAACATTCTCAATAGTCCACTGCATCCTAAGACTGTCCCATGCACAGCTCCCCACAACCTGGCCCCGTCGTCTGGGGTGTCCCAGGGGGTGAGAGACATCCCAGAGTCCTGGGGACTGTTGCTGCCTGAGGAAGCACAAAAGAGACCTGGTCAGAGCCCAGAGATGAGACCCTCAGAGGAACTGATGAGGGTGACTCTCCCTAGAGTTCCCTCTATGCTGTCCTCAGGGGCTCAGGATCCAACCCCTGATCCACGCTTACCTGCAGCCTGACTGTAGCTGATTGCTTGTCCCCCTGTGGAAAGAAACATCATGTGAGACAAGGGAGGAGTCAGGTGACAAGTCCTAAAGGAATCCCCAAGTCTGGGTCACAGGGAAGTTTCTAGAACTGTGACTGAAGACCCAGGTCAGGACTGGGATATATGAAGAATGGATATGAAAGGAAATTGGAGTCTTTTCTTAGCAGGGTCCTTCCCCTATGACATTTACTGGGAGATAGATCCCCATCACCACAGCTATAAGGTGAACAATTGGTGATTCATTTTCTTAAGTGCTTTACAAAAGAATGAGTGTTCTCAATCAGCTCCAGACTGGGCAACACATGTGTGTGGATCAGACTCCCTACTAACCAGGAAGGGCAAGTTCTCCCTGGGACATTAAAGTCCCCAATGGACAAGATCCCCCACTCCCTTCCCTACCTGAGCGCTTCTTCCTCCACATTACAGCTGCAGCCACCACAGCTCCAGCGAGCACAGCTCCAAGGAGAACCAGGCCAACAATGAGGCCCACGGAGGAGGCGGTGGAGTTGGTAGGGATGGTGGGCTGAGGAGGGTGCACTGGAAGGGATGGGAATGGGAGATCATGAGCCCCAGGCCTCATCCTGACCCTCTGAAGGGCTCCAGAAGGGCTCATGATGCCTCTGAGAAGCTCTGTGCCCACGTTCCCTCCTCACCCCATCTCAGGACTTGGGGCTCCAGCAGCCCCTCATGCTGCACATGGCACGTGTATCTCTGCTCCTCTCCAGAAGGCACCACCACAGCCGCCCACTTCTGGAAGGTTCCATTCCCCCCAGGCCTGGTCTCCACCAGCTCTGTGTCCTGGGTCAGGTTCTTCCCATCTCGCTGCCAGATCAGGAAAATGTTCGCAGGGTAGAAGTCCAGGGCCCAGCACCTCAGGGTAACCTTCTGGTCAGAGGTGGTGTGGTGGGTCACTTGTGTTTTGGGGGGATCTGAACAGAATGGTCAAAAATTCACACTTTGGGTTTCCTCTGTGGATACTGAAGCAGCCTCACTGACCATCCTCAGAATGGACATGACAATTGGTTTGGAGGGAGGAAGCACAAACCCCAGAAACCAGCCTACTCTGGAGAATATGGGATAATCAGGTGAGAGCCCAGGGTAGGAGGACGCAGGTCTCTAAGGAGAACAAAGACTTTTGCTCCTGACTGGGTGGAGGGTGAATGACACAGAAAGGCAGGAGTCAGATCCAAAACTGTTCTCAGACCAAAAACAAGACCTTGAAAGAGAAACTCATGGATCCAGGGAAGAGTTATTTCAGGATGGCCTCCCCTCCCTCAGGAGAGACTGGATTCCTTAACTGTCCAGAAAAGTGGTGTCTTCTGGGCGAGTCTCTCTCTAGCACAGACCGTGAAACCCAGGGGGCTCCTCCCTCTGCCCAGAAAGCAGGTGCTGTTCTGCCCATTATTCCATTTTCCCTGTGGGGCACCAGGTGAGGGGAGGCCCGAGGCCTTGTGGCCCCTCTTACCTGTGCGCTGCAGCACCTCCTTCCCCAACTCCAGGAATCTGAGGAGCCACTGGAAGCACCTGCCCTGTATACTGTTCCTGACGCGCTCGGCCCTCCCCTGCGCCTCCCACTCGCTCTGGGTGATCTGAGCCACCGGGTCCGCGGGGGTCCAGGAGCGCAGGTCCTCGCTCAGGGAGATGAAATCCGCGCCCTCGTAGGCGAACTTTTCATACCCGCCGAGGAGACTCAGGTCTGGCCCCACTTCACAGCCACACATGCTCTGGAGGGTGTGAAACACTGCACCCCGCCCAGCGGTCAGTCTGGAGGTCACCCGCAATTCACCCCCCCCCCCCGCCCGCACCCTGAATAAACCTAAACTGAAATGAAAGGGCCGGCAGGACAGTCCCTTCCCGGGGGAGGGGCCTGGCAGACCCACCAGCCTCGAGGGGTCAGTGGACCCTGAGACTCGGGACACCCCGGCCTTAGGGTGGGAATGGGGTGTGACCTGACCCTGGCCCCGCTCCGCGAAGCTCACCGTCCTCGCTGTGGTTGTAGCGGCTGCGCAGGTCCCTCAGGAGCGCTTCGAACCACTGAACGTTCTCCAGTTGCTTCCTCGTCTCCTCGTCCCGCTCCTCCTGCCCCACCTGCCCCGCCCAGGGCGCCCGCGGCTCCACACTCCGGTTCGGAGAGCTGATGTCGAACCACAGGAACTGCGTGTCGTCCACGTAGCCCACGGCGATGTAGCAGGTCTCATTGACGTTGCAGTTGCCGTTGCTGCCTTTGTTGCCGTTGTTGCCGTTGTTGTTGCCATTGAACATAGCGGTGTGCAATAGCCTCAGGGAGTGGGAACCTGGAGGCGGGAGGGGGAGACCCGGGCTGACCCTCCTCTCAGCGCTGGCCCAGGTCCCAGGGAGATGGGCCTGGAGGGGAGAAAGGGGCGGGGCCGGGAGAGTGAAAAGGGGGGTGGGCCAAGAAGGGCCCAGACTCAGGGGACCAGAGCACTCAGGGAGGCGGGAGGGACAGAAGGGGCCAGAACACAACGGGCCTGAAGGGGTACAAGAGGTTGGGGGGAGATGAGCTTTCCTGAGGTCCTGCACCCGCAGGGGGCTTCTTGCTCCTCCCTCCTGGAGCAACAGTGTCCAGCTGGACACGCACTCACCTGCCCGGGTCTCCATCAGGGCCAGGGGCCCCCAGAGCAGCAGCAGGAGGGTGAGGGGCATCACACCCCGTCCAGGGGTCTGGGGAGAAGGAGTCCAGGTCCTTGGAGACTTTGTAACTGGAGCAGGATGATGCTGATTGTCTTCCCTGGACACCCCCAGGAAATGGGGAGAGAGAATGGGGGTGAGTGTGGGGTCATCAAGGCTGCACCACCCCACAGAGCCTGTGAGAGGGAGACATGATGCTCTAACAGGGTGACATCCACAGAAAGGGGAGGCTCCAAATTCCCTTCCCCACCTTAGGGAGGAGTGGATTTGGGCTGGGAGAAGCAGCAGCCTGGAGGAATGAAGAAACTAGTAGTATTTTCAGATAATTGTGAATATTGATGCTAAATTAAAACTGTACAGGTGCTAGTTTCTCGGTTATTTGTTAAGTGAAACCTGAAATAATATCAAGGAATATTTCCTATTCTGTTAATTTTCCATAGGCCTCTCTTGCATATTGGTTGAAACTTGTGTTAATGTATGATTTTTAAAGGTGATATATTTTTTCACTAAGTTACATAGATTTCTTTTTAAAAAAACTATTCTTTTTTTTTTAAATATTTTTATTTATTTATTTATACAAGCACTGGGTACAGTCAGAAGCGCAGGATGGTGAGAGAATTCACCAGAGTCAGAGCGAGGAACAGAACAGGCAGAAGGACCGAGGTACACTGCTGAGGGAAGCAGCGGGTGCCACAAGAGAGGTCTGTGCACCATGTGGGACCCTCACCTGTGGCCAGGGATCGAACCAGCGCTGCAGAGGCTGTGGGAAGCTTCGCAGCCCAGCGCTCAACCACTGTGCCACCGGGGAGGCCCCAAGTTACACAGATTTTTAGTGTTAATTACACTGGAATCTAATGATTAAAAAAATGTTTTATTTTTTAATCACAAACCCCAAAAGAAAAATTTGTACTGTAAATTGTCAAGTAGTGATGCACTCATTTTTTCATAATTCTGGTTTTATCTGAGAGCTTATATTTTATGAGGCAAAATTACTCTCAGTTGCCAATTGTTGAGTTTCACAAGAAACAGACATTCAGCCTCTCCAGTGGCACAGTAGGTTGAGCACAGCTCTGAAGCCGTCCCCAGCCTCTGCAGCGCCGGTTATTGGGCCAGGGAGATTCCAACATGGCGCTGCAGACCTCTCCTGTCATGCCGGCTGCTCCCCTCAGCAGTGCTTTCAGTCTGACTGTATGTTCTGCTCCCCACTCTGTCTCTGGTGAAGCCTCTCACCCTCCTGTGCCTCTGCCCTGTACCCCAGCTATTGTATAAATGATTTTTAAATATCTTAAAAAAAAAAAAAGAAACAATCCTTTTGAGGAAAGAGTCTGCTAATTTACCAAATTTAAATGACCTTAGTTTTTGTCATTCATCCCTCAGGTAAGATGGTGTTGCCCACAAATAAAAAGAGTCTATTTCATCTCATACAAATATTTCCCTCAGGACACAGGGCTTGGGGATGCCACAGAAGTGCTCTGTGTATCCTTCCAGGTCAGCACACCAGATATTTTAAAATGTGGAGTTGAGGATGACGCAATAATGAAGATAACTTTTAATGCTTTTCCCAGGACATTTTCAAGCAAAACTGGCTTTAGTGTTTGTTCCTGCAGGTGAGTGCTAGTGAAGAATCACTACCTCTGCAGTGGTACTATAAGCTCCGCTCTTACTAAATTTTACCAGCAAATGCCAAATAGTGAAAAGACAAATGGTGTCTAAGTGATGTTTTGAAAAGAGTTTTACCTCATGACCCCATGAAAGGCTCTGGGTGACTTCAAGGGCTCCACAGACCACACTTTGAGAAATGCTTTTCTCAGTGAACCAGGGAGCATCTCCCAAGTGTTCTCTGCCTTTGCCTCCTCTTCACTTCCCAGAATCCCTCTCCCTGGCTGGCTCCTGCCTCCCCAAGCTGCCTCCCTTGCAAATATAATGGGGAGCAGAGAGAAGACCTTGGAGATGTGGAGTTTGCACTGTCAGGAGATGGTTACTGAGTAAAGATGACAAAGACACAAGGCCCAAGAGAGGCCACTCTGGCCTTTGAATTATTTCCATCTGAGGCTCATCAGGGGTTCATCTTAAGAAACGTTTACCACTTCTATAACTACCTGGTATGAAAATGGGTGGTCTTACCAAAAATTAGGGTTATTACCAGAAATGAGATTTGTATCCAAGAAACCTACCTATATGTCAGGGCAAACATCATTGTAGAACATCTGGTCTTTGTCATGAGCCACCCTGTCCTTGCCATGTGACCCCTCCTCTCTCCTGGGGTCCCAGGCCCCATCTCACTCTTAGCTCAGGAGACACACCCTCATTTCCCGCACAGATTCCAGACATTCATTGAGATGTAGATTCCCTATGCATATATAGGAAAAGTTGGTTATACTTTAGTACTGAAAAAAAAAGGAAAAAGAAAAAAAAGATGTTATAAAATTTCATGTGCTAAGAATAAGAGGTCTTGAAAATTAGAGATTTAATCACAGAAATGAATAAATCAGTAGATGAACTGGAATATTAAAGTCTCACTCCCACTAATAATGTGAATGGACTAGAAATGACAAGCAGAGAGAAGACCTACAAGAAACTGAGTCTATCGACCAGGAGATTCCAACAAGTTAATAACACAAGTGTCTAAAAGAATTCTCCTGCACTGCTGGTGGGAATGCAAACTGGTCCAACCACTATGGAAAGCTGTGTGGAGATTTCTTGATCTACTAAACATAGAGCTTCCATATGATCCAGCAATTCCACTCCTAGGTATTTACCCAAAGGACACAGAAACAGCAATTCCAAAGAGCACCTGCACCCCTATGTTTATAGCAGCACTGTTTACAATAGCTAATCTTTGGAAACAACCCAAATGCCCAAAAATAGATGACTGGATCAAGAAGATGTGGTACATATACACCATGGAATATTACTCAGCATTCAAAAAAGATAAACACATGCAATTTGCAGCAACATGGATGGCGCTGGAAGGTATCATGCTCAGCGAAATAAGCCAAAAAGAAAAAGGAAAATATCGGATGGTCTCACTCATAGCAGGAATCTAGAAAACCTAAATAAGGGACCAGGAAAAATAATAATTGTAAGAAAGAAAAAATCAAAATCAAAAAACAACTATGAACTGGAGACACAATATGGGGGGGAGGGCAAGGAAAGCAGGGATTGGGGTCAAAATAATGGGGTTGCAATTGTATGGGGAAAATAAAAATATAGTTAAAAAAATAAAAATAAAAAAGAATGGAGAGTGAAAATGATGAAAAAAATTTGAATAAAATCCCTGAGCATTCACAGATAAAATGTGCACGCTGAGTGTCCTACCGGGTTCCTCCTACAGAGGATGAGCAGCCCCACACCATGACCCGCCCCAGGGGCTTTCAACAAGAGGCTGGAGAAGGACAGACCATGGGGCCTCAAGACACAACTCAGGCCTGGAGGCCAGAAGACCCTGGAGCCAGGCCTGCCCAATCCTCAGGGGAATACAGCCCAGACCCCACGTCAGGCCCAGGTGAAGGGAGGCCCTGGGGGCACAGACATTCACTACAGCTGTGCGTGGTCTCAGGGTTTACTGTCCACGTCCCTCCTCTAGAGGGCAAAGGACACTAGTGGGCAAAGGGGAGACAAAGATGATGGACACAGAAAACAGGACGCGGGAAAATTAACCACAGGGGAGCGGGGACAGGAGAGAGGCCAAGGGTGAGGTGAGGGATCCGGGTCTTCAGCCCTGCCCAGGTGAGCAGGACCCAGGCCTGGGAGGCAGGACTGAGGCTGGGGGGCAGGGGTCTGCCCAGGATGAAGCAGGCAGAATAGCTGGTGTGTGTGAGATGTCCCTGGAGATTCTGACTCTGGGTGGTCTTGGGGGTGATTAGGAATGAGCACAACAGGAACTAAGCTAGTGAGGGAACAAGATAATTATAACTCCAGGGCCAATGAAAAAAGATCATTCCAAGAAAGAAAAGCATCCTGGTCTACTCAATGCTCAGCTGTTACTGGCTCTCACCAGGTCATAATGATACAAACTCTGGATCCTGGGGTGTATCTCAACAACCTGCCAGAGGGGCCGCCAGGGGCAAATGCCTGTGCTGTGGATCTCAGGGATCACCTTGAGGCCTCCTTGCCACTCAGAGCCAGTTCTCACAGCCTGGGCAAGAGGGCTCAGTGCTGTGGGCTTCCCAAGATGCTTGCTGAAAACTTCAATGTGAAGGAGCAGAGAGCAGAGAAACATCAGGGGCCCTAGAAAGGCTGCAGGGAAGGCAGTGACAAGCCTCCCTGGGGAAGAGGCTGCATCTGTTCACCCAAGAGCTAAAGCACAAAGGAGGAAGCAAGTCACCAGACCCTTCAGAACATGCCCCCATGCTCTGTGGTGCCCAAGCCCTGACACAGGAGACAACTTTTCTGAAAGAAAACATGATTCTGATCAAGGAGGACATTAAAAATTTCTAACAGGACACATCTCAATCGATGCAGGTGTCAGTAGAGATGGACCAGGCCAAGTCCAGAGAGCAGCTGCTGCAGAACCTCCTAGAAGCAGACACGTGAGCATGTTGGGAGCTGACACTGAGGAGACATAGAAAACTCAGACAGAGCCAAGATTTCTGCCGGGCTGACAGCCTCGCTAAACAGATTAGTAGTGCTCATCCATCCTTCAGTCAATTCAGAAAAATGGGTGCAATTCAAAGTTTTGAAGGACAGGCTGGAGGCCTTGCCCTGCCCCCAGAGTGTGGCCTCATTAACCACTCAGTCTGTGGTATTTTATGAACATTTTCAAGCACACAGAATAATTGAAATAATAGTGCAGAGCACACCACCTCGATCCCAGCATTAGCATTTGCCACATTTGCTTTATCACTCATCTATTCATGGATCCGTCTCTCTGTTCATCCATCTTATTTTTCTGATGAATTTCAAAGCTAGTTGCAAATGTCAGTACCCATCTTTTTATTTTTTTTAAAGATTTATTTATTTATGTATACAAGAGCTGGGGTGCAGGCCAGAGGTGTGGGGGTGAGAGGATTCAGCAGAGGCAGAGTAGGGAGCAGAGCAAGTGGTTCTACCAAAATACACTGTTGAGGGGAGCAGCGGGCGAAACAGGAGAGGTCTGCTGTGCCATGTGGGTCAGCTCCCTGGCCTGGGTTAAAACTCATCGCAATGGCTGCCAATAGCTTCACAGTGCTGAGACTTAACCCCTTATGTCACTAAAGACTCCCACATTTAATTTTCAACACTTGGGATAAGAATATTTTTTTGAGGGCCTCCCCGGTGGCATAGCGGTTTGAGCACCGAGCTGTGAAACTGTCCGCAGCCTCAATTCCCAGCCAGCCAGTGAGAAACCCAATGGTGTGGTAGACCTCTCCTGCCTTGCCCGCTGCTCCCCTCAGTAGTGTCTTAGGTCCGTCTGCCTGTTCTGCTCCCTGCTCTGTTTCTGGTGAATTCTCTCACCCTCCCCACCTCTGACCTGTACCCCAGTTCTTGTATAAATAAATCTTAAAAAAAAAAAAAAGAATATTTTTTTGAGATAAAACTCTATCTGGAGAAATGCACAAATCTTGAGTATACTACCAGAGGAGTTATGACCCTTGTCAAGAACATTATGTATATTGTGCTTTTTTTCTCTTGGAAACAATGAACATTTAAATAATTTAATGATGTGTCTCACTTAACAATACAATTTATACACCCTCCCTCCTTTCGAGTAACTACCACAGTCCAATCTGAAGCCTCCCTGGCCCCTCCATTCTCAGCGCATTCCTGTGACCACACTCTCCTTGGAACAGAGCCCAGGCCTGAGTCGTCTTGATAGTTATTTATATTTATTATATTTATTTGGATAACTTTGATATTTCAACCATATTTCTTGGAGGGGTTATAGGTGCAAAACTCCAAAATATATCTTATTGTCCCATGTAAATGTGATATATCAATATATAATATGTTTTTCATCTTTAACCTTTCAACAAATAAGTTGAAAAGAACTCACCCTTTTCCTTTCATCCACAAGACTATTAGTCAATCATAAGGAGCAGCTTAGCTGTTTTCATACCTTCACAGCCACATATTACCATTTATAACTATGGTAAATATTTCAATTATCAGTTTTATTAGACAAACTTGTATTTACAGGCAATGTCTGAAGCAAAATTTCATTAAAGCAATAGATGAGCATTTCTTCTAGAAAAACAAATGTCTGAAGTTAGATGAAAGACAAGGAAATAGGGCACACCTGGTAGCACAGGGTTTAAGTCGCAGCACTATCAAGCTATCACAAGCCACAATGGCATGAATTGGATCCCCAATGAGGGAACTGGTCCACAAGGCACAGCAGACCTCTCCTGTTTCGCCTGCTGCTCCCCTCAGCAGTGCATTTCAGTAGATATGCCTGTTCTGCTCCTCCACTCTGCATCCAGTGATTCTTGTCACCCCCACACTTCTGGCCTATACCCCAGTTTTTGTATGCATAAGTAAATAAAAATAAATCTTCAATAAAAAAAGAAAAACAAGGAAATAATGATTTCACTTTATAATTATCCTGGATGCAGTCACCCAAATCACATCAATTCCTTTATATGAGTACTGTCTTAACATTATATAACAAGTTATTCACAGAAAATACACAAGCCAGAAACTTAGTCTTAAACATCACATCAACCATCAACTTTTCTTAATTTTTGAAGACATAAAAATAAAAATCATTTCATATAACAGCATGAAAATTCCATACCTTTGTAAAGTGGTGGGACAGTCAAATTATTTCCCAGGTTTCAGCTGAAATGACCTTCAAAAGTGCTCAGATTGTGTCCAGCTTGTTTTGGGGCAATTTGCCTCCTTGAGCTAAGCAGAGGACAATATTAAAATGCATGAATGATTCCCACTGACACTGTGGTCTAAGTAGGTATCTGTTTTTTTTGTGACTGAAATACACATGAAGAATTGTCCGGTGGGGAGAGGGGGGAGAATCTCCACATTAACATAGAGGAAATGAGCTGAGGGTACCATTTGGCACCAATCAGGTGACAGTAGATTGGTCCATTACAAATGGCAGTTACTGGGCTCTGAGGAGCAACTGCCACAACTGCCTGTGGTGGAGCAGCAGGTGGAAACATCACTGTCCTGCTGCTCCCACCGCTGAGATGCTGGTTCCAGTAACGGTTTGTAACAAATCATTCTAAACTTAGCAGCTAAACCACAAAGATCTGGCATCTGGCACAGTCTCTGGGGGCGGGGGGCAGCAGGAGGGGCCTCACTCAGAGGCTTCAGCTCTGGGTCCCACATGGCTGCGATGGGGACGAGATGTTGACGGATCCGAATGGCTGTGATCAGTGTGGAAGGACCTGCCTCAGAGCTCATGCATGTGGCTCCTGGAGAAAGCCCTCAGTTCCTTGTCCTGTGGGCGTCCTCTTAGCTGAGTGTCCACTGTGTGCAGGGAGTCACCCCAGAGAGTGACCAGGGGATAGCCCGGGCGGGAAGTCTCAGCCCCTGTGAGCCTGACTCTGTGACGTGGCGCGTCCCTTCTGCTTCATTCTCCTCACAAGGAAGAGCCAGAGAGTCAGACACACTCACGGGGGGAATTGTGTCCCCTCCTGTGTATCCCCTCAATTGGTGGAAAATTGAAAACCAACACAGAAGACCGTGTGGACACTAATAATTCCCATTCTGTCCACATGAAAATTAAATTGCCTCCCACCCAAGGTCCCTTAATTCAGGACCACACAGAGGAGGCGCCTTGAGAGCATCTGTGGAGTGAAGCCATCTGTGCTCAGCTCCTCATGGGCTGGGGCAGTTTCCTGCCCCACAAGCCCTTCATGTGGATACAGTGGAGGACAGACACAGGGCAACTTGTAGACCCAATTTTTAATGTATTTTTAAAGCGTATTTATTGAGATATAACTTATGACCATTAATTCACTTGTTGAAGGCTCACCTCTCATGTCCTTTTGGTAAGTACAGAGCAGGGCAACCATGCCGTAATGTAACTTGAGAACATCTCCATCACCACAATAACCTTATTTCCTGGGCCTGGGCCCATGGGCACCACCCCCACCTTCCCCTCCCCATCCCTGGGCAGCTGGAGTCCACTCTCTGCATCTCGGGACACGCCAGGGAACTTCTCTCTAAAACATTCCAGATAACTCTGCTAACACAGACCTGCAGTGGGCATTTTGGGTTCCCTAGCCTGACACATGCTGTTGCCCAGAAACATACTCCACAGGGTGCTAAGGTCACAGAGAACCACCTGACCCAGGAGGACCTGCAGCCTGGGGTGTGTGAGGAGAGAAGGGCTGCAGTAGTCTGCCTTAAAGGGGGCTAACGCAGAGCTGGGAGGTTCCTCCATCAGCAGGAAGGGGACATGAGAGCTGGGTCTTGAAAGCCAGATTAGGGCAGAGGAACAGAATTGGCTCAGGGAGCTGATGGCAGGCCGACTATGTGACTTCAGTTACTTTCTCTGTGTGACCTCGGAGATGCCTCCCAGTGACTCTGAGAATTGGATATGGATACTGTCCTGATATGCCCACCCTCACATTCCCCTTCAGAAACAAGGACATGGAGACTGGGTGGTTATAGCAGTGCTTAGGTCTGAACTCCAACCACCTGGCTAATGTCTGGGCCTCCTGCCTTACACCATCCTGCAAAGTGACCAGGAGACCTGTGAGGCTTTGACCCTGGAGACGTCAACAACCTCCCCAGATGCCACACATTTCTTGGCTGGATTTAACTAAAGACAAAAGGACAGTAATAAATCATCACATAATCACCCTTTATGTAAATGAATTGAACTCACCAAAGAAGAAGACACAAAGTGACTGGTTGTACCAAAAAACAAAACCCAATTTTATGTTGTCTCCAGGAGACAGGATCATAAAAGTTCTTGGGGAAAAACACAAGAAAGTGGGGCACCCCCAAATGCCATAAAAGATAAAATAAATTTCCAGCTAAAAAAAGCAACAAAAGACAGGGATGAACATCATATGATTAAGGAATCCTACATCAGGAAGACACAGCACTCATCAATATATGCACCAAACACAGGAGCATCAAAATATATAAGACAACTATTAACAAATATAAAAAAAAAAGATACTGGCAGCAACATAATAGTGGTAAAGGAATTCAACACCCAACTTTCATCAAGGACACATCACCTGACAGAAAATCAACAAGGAAACTGTTGCTCTAAGTGAGGTATTAGACCACAAGGGCTAAATAGACACCTACAGGGCACTGCACTCCACAGTCTTCTCAAGGGCACTTGGAAGAGTCTCCAGAATAAACCACTTGTTGGGTCACAGAACAAGTGTCAATAAATTCATAATGACTGAACACAATACCAAATGACTATTGGGTTAAGCGGGAAATCAAAGAAAAAAATTAAAAATACCTTGAGACAATGACAACCTATCAGTGGGGCACAGCACACGCAGCACTAAGAAGGGATTATAGAGCAATACAGAGTTCAAGTAAAGAATCTAACCTTACACTTAAAACAGCTAAAAAGAACAAATGAAACCAAGAGACAGAGAAGGAATAAAATGAAAGCAGAAATCAAAGACACAGAAAAAGGACAGACTGAAAAATCAATGAAACCAAAAACTGGTTCTTGAAAAAAAATAGACAAATCTTTTCCTAGGCTTTCAAGGAGGAAAAAAGGAAAAAATAACTGTAATAAATAGAATTAGAAATGAAGGGTAGACGTCACAAGAGACATTTCGGGAATAGAGAGATCATAAGAACACTAAATATATGTTAATAAACTGAAAAACCTCAAACAACCCAGAAGAAACTGACACATGCTTAGAAGTACAACCTTCCGAGACTGAATCAGGAAAATTCAGAACAAAACAACTACAAGCAAAGACATTGAAACACGAATCAAAAGTTTCCCAAAAAACAAAGCCAAGGAACAGACATTTTCAGTGACTTCTACAACATCGTTAAAGATGAACTAATACCTGACTTCTCAATGCTTCAGAAAAACAGAGGAAGAGGGAACGATGCCAAATACATCTCATGAGGCCAACATTCCCTTGATACCAAAAGCAGAGGACATCACACAAAAAAAGAAAGCGAAAGACCAACATCCCTGATGAACATAGATGCAAAAATCCTCAACAAGACCTTAGCAAACCAAAATCAAATATACATTAAAAAGGATCACAAAGGTGCCTCCCTGGTGTTAAAGCGCAGCACTATGAAGCAATCTGCAGACACCGCAACATGAGTTCCATGCTCGGCCAGGGAGGTGACACACGTGGCGCAACAGACCTCTCCTGCCTTACCTGCTGCTCCCCTCAGCTGTGTGTTTCAGGTCATCTGCCTGTTCTGCTTCCTGCTCTGTCTCTGGTAAATCCACTCTTCCCCCACACCTCTGGCTTGTATCCCAATTATTGTATGTATAAATAATCTTTAAAAAAAAAGGATCACACATCATGACTGAGTGGGATTTATCTCAGCTACACAAGGATGGTTCAACATTTGAAAATCAATGAGCGAGATTTCAGCTCACACCAATTAGAGTGTCTATTATCAAAAAGTCAAGAAATAATAAATTTTGGTGAGGAATAGGGAATATAGAACCCTTGTGCAACGTATTGAGTAACTGGTGGGGCCATTTGGAAAACAATATGGTGGGTTTGCAAAAAATATCAAATAGAATTACAAAATGATCCAGTATTTCCACTTCTGGATATTTACCTGAAGAATATGAAAACACTTATTCAAAACAAGACATGGCCCCTGTTTTCACTGCAGGACTATTTACAATAGTCAACAATTGAAACAACCCAAGTCTGGAACAGATGAATGGATTAACAAAATGTGAGATAGATTAGATAGATAGATAGATAGATAGATAGATAGATAGATAGATAGATAGATAGATAGAGATATATATGATACATACAATGGAATACTATTCAGATATTTAAAAGATTAAATTCTGCCATTTTCAACACTATGGATAGAATTTGAGGGAACTATGCTAAGTCAAACTGAGAAAGACAGATACCAAAGAATTGTACTCATTTGTGGAATATGAAGGGGGAAAAAAGCAATCAAAAAGGAACAAAATGGCAGTCACCAGAGGAGAAATGGGTGGAGAGAATAGCTTGGTGGAGGATTATGACTGGAATTTTAGTAGTGGGTGTGTGAGAAATTTACAGTTATCAGGGGAGAAGCTGTACACCTAACATCTATGCCGTGTGTGAATTGTTACTTCAATTTAAAAAAAGAACAAAAAGTTTCCCCCAGTCTGCTCCTCAGTCAGCGCCCTTGACCTGAGGAGGCCTGGGAAGGACAGGACAGGACTGTGCTGTCCTCAGGAGCCCCCTGCACCTCCAAAGAGCCACTTCTCACCTGTGCTGCCCCAGCTTGGCCTGAGCCCCTCCCCTCTCACCTGGACACACACAGACTAGTCTCTCCTGCCACCCCCAGTCTGGGCCCCTTTCACCTGGGAGCTGAACCAGGTCCTGCTCTGCTCACAGCCTGGCAGGGGCTTCCCAGCCCCACAGTCATCCCCAGCCCCACAGGGTGACCCCTTCCCAGGCCTCTGACTCCCACTCCTGTGTCCCTCCCTCTCCCTCTGCTCCAGTTGATCTTCACCCCCTCTGTCCATGCACATAGGCACCAGCCAGCCCCCTAGAGGCTGTTCCCTCCATGGGGCCCTCACCCCCAACCCCCACCCCAGGGCTTTGCTCCCATGCCATCATCTACACTGACCCCTTGATGGACGCAGCTGCCCCAACACAACCCTCCATCCCCTGCTGCCCGACCTGCTCCCTGCCTGTCCCTCCTCTCAGCCCCTCTGCAGGTGGAGGTGGGTGGGTTTCTTGTCTTTTTTTTTTTTTTTTTTTTTTTTGGTGGGACCCTCCCCAGGAGCCGATGATTGAATCAGCATGGCAGAGGCTTCGGACAGCTTCATAGCGCAGCGCTCAACCGCTGCGCCACCAGGGAGTCCCGAGTTTCTTGTCTTTATTAGTCACTGTCTCCTGCATGAAAGCAGCTCTCTGAGGATGGGGAATCTCTCTTTTTTGTACACAGCACATAGCATATAATATATAAATATTAGTGGAGTGAAATGAATTAACAGCTGACAAGTGTTTCTGATACAGATAAATCAAAAGCCAAAAATGAGGAGAAAGGTGTTTTCATTTTGGACAGTTGACTTTTTAAAATCCATAAACCCCTGACTGAGCAATCGTCATCCCTCCCACTCAGTGACTGCTGCTCTTAACTGCAATCACATGAGTGGTTGGGGAGCACCCCCATCTTTCTAGAGCCAGGGCCCCCACACAGCCATCCTTCCTGAAGGAAGAGCTCCCAGAACCCCTGGGCCCCACCCACCCAAGGGAGACACAGGAACAGAGAGGGACACACTCACCTGGGGACCCCCAGGGGGGCAGCTGGAGGAGGAACAGCAGGGAGGGGAGGAGGCAGAGCACAGAGCTGGGGCAGGAGCAGGTGCCATCTCCTCAGGGCTGGGGAGAGACAGGGCAGGAGGCAGCCAGGCCCACACAGAGGAGCAGGGCAGCCAGGAGCTCTGGGTTCAGGGGGAGCAGGGCTCAGGGACCCCCAACAGCAGGAGCAGGACCTTTCCATGTGAGCCCTTAGGCCCTGAGACCAAGGAGGATAGACCTGGCTCCTCTCAGGGCATCTGAGCCTCTGTGCTGCTAGACCATGAGGTTTATTGGAGAAAAACATCCTCCCTTCCCCTCCCACACCATTGAACCCAAACCACAGACCTTTTCTGCTCAGAAAACTTGGGCCCAGCAACTGGGCCACAGAGTGCAAACTGCCCTCCCCTCCCCATCATCACCCAGTGACTCCCTAGAACAGAGGCCCAGACCCAGGTACCCTGTGAAGGACAGGCCAGAGAAAAGGCGCCGACTTGTGGTTCTACCCCCCTCAGGTGTCCCTGAAAAGCCTCAGGGCACACAACACTGTCCCCAAGGAGTCAGGGTCCCCCCACAGGCCCCTGTCCTGCTCTGTCTGCTTGTTCAGCTCACCTGAAGGTCAGTCCCTCCCTAGTCTTGACCGGCCAGGGCCAAGGACAAGGTCCTGCCCCAAACACAGCAGGAGTTGGTCAGATCCCCACTGAGGGCTTCGTCCTCGTCCTCTCTGACCTGCCTCGGGGTGAGGGGCCCAGTGGGACAGAGCAGCAGAGAAGTGAAATGAGTCCTGAGGAGAGAAAACACCCCCAGTCTGTTAACATGCAGAATGAGGGGCACCCCAGGACCCCCATAACCTGAATACTCTAAATGGCTTCTGCCATCTGCCGCACAAAGGCAGAGCACACTCTGAGTGGGAACCAACACAGGAGAGTGGTGTGCACAGAGAGGAAGGGAAGGGAGAAGAGTTTCCCAACAAAACACCCAGTTACTGTCCCTTTGTGGGTAAACGCCCAACCAAACCAGGTTGCCCAAAGTGGGGCCACTGCAGCCTGAAATCTTGCCACAAGTCTCAGGCACCTTCTGGCAGGGACCCACAGAAGCCAATGAAAGGGGTCAGGACAGTCTGGGGCAAAAGGAGCAAAATAAAAGCACAAACCACGGTCAAGGCCAGTGTCCCCACGGGCCTCTCCCAAGTGTCTCCTCCCACGTCCTCCTGTCCCTGGGGCGAGCCCAGCGCTGAGAAGCAAAGGGGGCTTCTCCACACATCCCTCTCCTGTGTCGTCCCCGCGTCTCTCTCCAGGTGCTCTCTCCCCCACACGCCTGTGTCTCACGGTGGATGCTCCTAAAGGGCCCTGACACAGGGGGTCTCTGTCCAGAGAGGTCGTGTGACCCCACGTCTTATTCAGAGAAAAGGCAAAACCCTTCCAACATCCTCAATGTCTGCATGATGAGGGTGCACAGACCCCGTCTCAGTGACCCCTACCCCAGCCGCAGCCTCTGACACACAGACATCCCCGTCCTGGGGCATCTGGGCTGAGGTCGCCGTGCCTGGACAGAGCTTCCCAGACACCCTGTGAGCATAGAGTGTCCATTAGGTCTTCTCTCAAAGGCGCTGTCCTGGTGAGGCCCACCTGTCCATGCTAGGAGAGGAGCCTCTTCCTTGCCCTCACACAATTTCTCTGGGTCACCTTCCCCACAATTCTTACCCACACCAGGATGCGTCTGAAAATTCATCTCTAACACCAGATGTCCGTGAGCAGGGGCAGCCCTGGGCCTTGTGGGGACAATAGCAGTGCCTAAGCCTGATCCCTGAACATGAAAAAGAACAGGTGTGCCCCAAAAAACCCAAAGAAGCAAAATATAAACACACTGAGGCCTGAGGACCCAGCCCTGTCTGAGCATAGCCTGATCCAGCCACACTTAGTCTCCACCCACATCCTGGAGACAGGAGAGGCCCATGTGGGGTCTGAGTCCCTGTGACCACAGGCCCTGCTGGGACAGGTGCTCCTGAAGGACAAGGACAAAGGAGCAGAGAGAGAGATGACCCCTGAGGAGTGACCACATCAAAGCCCACGATACAATGAGCACCGACTGGACACAGGCCCTGTCCCCTCAGCTCCTCACAGCCTCTCCCGCCCCCACCTGCACAGACTCAGCACGGCAAGCTGCAGTTCTGGCTGGTCCTCAGGGCTCCTCCTTATTTCCAGTAAAATATTAGGAATCTTTTCAATTAACACATCAAAAAAAAACACCCAGAAAAAAAACAGTTTCATGTCTGGGTGTCTATTTTCAGTAGGGAAGTGGACATCATTCCTCAGGAAAACACAAAGTCCAGGCAGGGATGGAGTCAGCCCCACCTCTACTGGAGCAGGAAAGTCATCAGGGAGAGACACAGGTCAGTGTGGGGAGGGCCCTGATGGGCAGGGTTGGGCCAGTCTCCCCACCTCCTCACGTTATGCTAATGTGACCCCAGACACATGAGGACACACTTTGCAGACAGAGGAACCAAAGGTTCTTACTGAGGGGGCACTGGTTACATCACTGCTTACACTGTAGAAGGGCAGGTCCCCGGTGTGGTCACTGCAGCACACCCATCCCCGAGCCCACGGGCCTCCGCTCTGGGGTCACCCTCCCCCTGCCCCTCTGCCAGCCCCCGCCCTGCATGCAGACTCCAAGGGTCAGTCTGTGTGAGCGTGTGTTGTTAACAGTCATGATCAACTTTTATTGGTTTCACATGAATAGCTAATAGTTTGCCTTTGCAAACCATGTTTTTCCAATACATATTTGTTAAAACATATGGAAGTATTTATTAAATTTTTGGCAGAGGTGGTGGGAAAAGTGAGGGGAAGATGACAATGTCAAAGCTAATCTTCAGTGACAGGGGAAACATTTGGCCATTGTCTCCCTTCATAGACAGTTATAGATTTGTAACTTCGAAACAGCTCAAAACTGCGGTGCCTCAGTTTACTTTAAAAAGCAGTAGTTAGGTTCCTCCCTGGTGGCGCAAGGGGTTAAGACTCAGCACTAAGAGGCTAACCACAGCCACTGCAGCACGAGTTCAATACCCATCCAGGGAGCTACCCACATGGCACAGCAGACCTTGACTTGCCCACTACTCCCCCCAGCAGTGTATTTCAGTCAGTCTGCCTGTTCTGCTCTCCACTCTGTCGCTGGTGTATCCTCTCACCGCCCCCACACACTTCTGGCCTGTACCCCAGTTCTCGTGTGCATAAATAAATCTTTTTTAAAAATAATACAATAACATGAGAATCGAAAAATCTCTATCACTGTCTTATGCCTCCAGAGGGTTAACTATAAATAGCATCTATATAAATTCTAATAAAAAGTCCCCAATTTTGAGATCACAATCTAAAATTTTGGCAAATCAAAAACTAGTTCAAAACTTAATGGTTGAATTTGAAGCATGCACCTTATGGTTTTAATATTGGGTATTAATATTTTATGTTTCAATGTCTTTATTTTAAACAGGAAGCTCACAGTATTCAGAAAAAAAGAGTAATTGATCTAGTCTACATCAAAGAAGATAAGTTTGCATTTTGATGATTATACCTAAACTTCTCTTAATATAATTATTTTCCAGAAAAAGCCCCAATTGACTTCTCTCCCCTCGTCCTAGCAAAAATTTCAAGATGACATCTATAGCCTCATGGGCAAGTTACTTAGCAGTACTTAGTTCCTCACAGGTATGTAGGAAATGTACATGATATTAAGTCTCTCTGATTTTTTTGTTTTTCATCAATCTATCTAGTGCTTGCCTAAGAAAGAAACTTGGTTTATGGGATTATTATAATTATCAACTCTGGAATTAATTTAAAATTCCAGTCCTAAGAAAAACTAGCAGCTACAATTTGTATGTCTCTTTTAAATTTCTTCTTTTCTCTTTATTTAAATGTTGGCCAAATTTCATATAAAACTAAGGTTTTCCTAAGTTTAACAATGAGAATTTGTTAAATAATTAAAATCACTTTCTCTAAAACCATTGAGCTTTCAGGTTGCTTTTTGCAAATTATAAGAAAACTAAAATTTAATGTCATCTCACATAAAAAAAATTAAAACAATTAAAATGTGTTTATGTATGAGTTATCAAGGGTAACAGGGTGGTCCCCAGGAAAAGGGGAGGTTCCAGTTTCCCTGCCCCCACTCAAGGGAGGGTGGAGCTGAGCAGGAGAGAAGCAGCTGCAGAAGAGACTGAGGAAGGAAGGAAGCAGGATGGAGCCAGAAGGAGACCTGGAGGAGGCACATGGAGCCAAGAGAAACATGAACAAACTGCGCTTGCCTTTTGGTCATGGACTGGGTGACAAAGATATGGGTGAGAGGCCCGGGGGGAGGTGACAATGGCAGCTTTTACCTTGGTTTTGATTTTGCTCTTTTCCTCCCAGACTTGTCTGGTTGTTTCTGACCTTTTTCTGCAGATCCCCACTGGAAGTTGCTTTAGACTTGTGGCAGCTTCCGGGCCTTGCTTTGGGCCAATCCTGTTTGGATAGACTTTTACCACGAGGTGATGGGTAACTCTGGGTGCTTGACTTAGAAACTATATTCTTTGTCTTTTCTGTATTTTTCTCTAATTGTATTAAAGTTCCTTCCATTAAAGGTTTCTATGTTTTGCCCTGATGCAATGGATGGCAGAACCTATATAGTGCAAGCAGGTTTGGAGGTTCTGGGGGTCCCTTTCCCTGCACTGTAACACCAGTACAAAGGAATAATAGTATAACAGCTCTTACAATGTCTTCCAATCTAAAAATTAAAAACTGGGATGTCAGAACTCTAAATGTAAATAAAGTGAGTTGTGCTAAGGAATGTATTTGAAATGGATATGGCGAAGGTATTGGGAAACATTGAGTGTTAAAATAAAATGGTTCTTTAAAAAGAAATGGTATAAAAATAGGAAAGCAAAAGAAAGTGTTGAAGGTCTGAGAGAGGTATCTGAAAAAATGTTAGGTGCTCAAAATCTTCCCATCAGCATTGCTGAGCCTCATCAAAGAAATAGCTCTATTCTTTAAAATCCTTATCACTCTGAGTAATTAACTATTTTATAAAAATCTGTAAGCTTGTTAATCCTATGACAACTTCCTTGAGACCAAAAATTCTAAAATATTAAAGTCTTTAGACATCCTGCAGGGGGGGAGAAGGATCAGAGGGAGGGAGGGAGGAGCACAGGAGACTGAGGTGATGGTGCACAGGTGCATTGGTGAAGGAAACTCTATGGGGACTACACTTGGGGTGGAGGGAAAGCAAACATTGTTTAAAAATGAACAATGATGTAAAAAATAATATATATATATATATGAAAAAATTTTAAAAATATATTCAATAAAAAAATATTAAAGTCTTTGTCCTAAAAAGACTCCTAATGTTAGGGCGAAAGCATGTCCTGAATAAATTCCATACAGGCTTTGTGGACTCCACCCCCACTCCAAACCAAAGTCACCAGGACATTGGGAAAGACAAATCTCATCATCACCAAAGGGAGGGTTGCTGGGACCTGAGGGCGGAGTTAAGCTGCCAGGTTTGGTATAAAACCAGACATGTGGGCCTTGGGGCTCTCTCTTGGCTTCAGGGCTCTTGGCTCTTCGCCAGCTCTCAGTGTGCCACTGGGATTCCATTGGGATTCCAGGTCAGCCGAATGGGTAGGACACATTCATGAGTTTATCTCCCTCTTTTTCTCCCTGAGTTATTCATTTCTTCATTTTCCGTTCCTTTGCAAATAAACCCTTTATTAACCTTTTGTATGTGCCTGCAGTTAAATATTAATAAGTCACTTTTTAAAAAAGATTTATTTATTTATACAAGAACCAGGGTACAGGCCAGATGCACTGGAGGGTGAGAGGATTCACCAGAGACAGAGCAGGGAACAGAACAGGCAGACTGGCAAAATACACTGCTGAGGAGAGCAGCAGGTGAGACAGGAGAGGTCTGTCGCGCCATGTTGGACCCTCGCCGGTGGCCGGTGATCGAACCCATGCTGCAGCGACTGTGGACAGCTTCACAGCGCAGCGCTCAACCACCTGGGCCACCAGGGGAGGCCCTTAATAAGTCACTTTTAAGCACGTGGGTGAGGACCCAGTCAGGCAACCTGTTTTATATCAGGGTTGCCCTATAACACTAAGACAGCCAATAAAAGTGTTTTACTTGTAAAAACAAATTGGGTCAATCTGGGTATATTGATAAAAATACATAACACATTAAATTTTAGTCTTTGGGTCTCCTCTGGTGGCACAGTGGTTGAGCGCTGTGGCTGCGAAGCTGCCCACAGCCTCTGCAGCACGGGTTTAATCCCCGGCCAGTGGGCGAGAATCCCACGTGGCGAGCCAGACCTCTCCTGCCGCAACCGCTGCTCCCCTCAGCAATGTATTTTGTCGGTCTGCCTATTCTGTTCCCTGCTCTGGCTCTGGTGAATTCTCTCACCTTCACATGCTTCTGACTGTACCCAGTGCTTGCATAAATAAATAAATAAATCTTTTTAAAAAAATAGAATAACTAATTAAAAAAAATTTTTTTTAGTCTTCCCGAGTATTTCCTCTATGGGGACAGAACATCATAACCAAATTCCAAACTAACAGTCCATTGGCTCTTCTAGCCACTGCTACAAAAGGTAGAAATAAAACAGAAGACTCAGGTCTCAAATTTAATGATATTTGACAAATAGACTTTACATTCATGTCTCTAAAGACACCTATTCTGCATTAATTCAAGCCTCAGCCCAAACAGGGTAAACTGGTAAACATGTCCAAAAAAACATGATCCATTATCAGTTTTCATTTGTGATGGGATTCCCATCGCTGCAATGGCAGATAAAAGGTATTTTTTAAGTGGTAATGGAGCGCCTCCCTGGTGGCACAAGGGGTTAAGACACAACCTATGAAGCTGTCTGCAGCCACTGCAGTGTGAGTTCAATCCCTGGCCAGGGTGCTACCCACAGGGTGCAGCAGACCTCTCCTGTCTCGCCCGCTTCTCCCCTCAGCAGTATATTTCAAGTCATTCTGCCTGTTCATTTCCCCACTCTGTCTCTGGTGAGTCCTCTGGCCTGGACCCAATTCTTGTATGCAAAAATAAATAAATCTTACAACAACAACACACCAACTAATCATGGACCTGCTCCAAAGCCTTTAACTCTTTCAACATGCACCTGGCGCCCTTATAGCCCTACAGAACAAACTACAGTTAAAAGAGCAAACAGGATCCTTAAAACAACTTATAATACAAAAAAGGGGACTCTAGAGAGCAAGTTGCCCCATGGGTATAAATATATAAAGCCCTATTTGCTTAAACTTCCGAAATTGCAATTTCTCCGCCCTAACAGCTGTTGAGGGCATCTCACTCCTCCTGACTCTGCACAAGACCTGCGGTTTGTACTGACCCCGCTGCCATGACCAGACTGGCCCGGGTCTGTCCCATCAATGACCTGGGAGAGGGGGGACTTCTGTCTGTCCCCCCCAAGACACAGGCTGTGCTCCCTGACCAGGAGTTGGCGTCTGTAGGGTAAGGTAAAAGTATCGGGCTTTTCTGCCTTCCTGAATGCATGCCTGATGGCAGGCACCAGGAGTAGGTTGTGGGCATAGGTAGATGGTATTCACCTGGGCTAAGACTGGGCTTTTAAGGGCGGCGTCACCGCAATGCCAGCAGAGAGAAGCAGAACAAACAGAAGAAAAGAAGCAGAAGCAGAACCACGAGAGAGCACAGAGGCGGAGACCACCAGAGAACGCCAGAGAGCCCAGAAAGAATGAAGAGTAGCTGGGAGACCTGCCAGCCTCCCGGCCTCCCAGCACCTCTGCCTGCCTTATGCCTGGTAAATCCCAATAAAAGCCCGCAAAAGCCACCCAGGGCTCCAGGACTCTCTCTCCTCCCTTACCCCGTCTGCTCGGGTCACAGAGAACCTGCTCCATGCCCATTCCTGCCCCTTACAGCGTCCAACAGGGGTGAACCCCGCTCGGAGACTCACCCCAGCGCCGGCTCCCGCGTCTTCCCACAGCCCCGGGTCGCGGGCGGGGACCTGGGCAGCCGCACCCGCCGGTGCTTCCCGCGCTCCCGGCTGCCCTTGGCTGTTGGCGGGTCTCCGCGGGGTCCCCGCCATTCGCTCACGGCCTTGGCGGTTCCCACAGGAGCCCGCACGTTTTCCCAGTTCCTGGCTGAGGACTGCGGAGCCTGCGGGTCACTTGTGCTCACTGTCGGCTGGTCTCTGGTTTGCTCTTGTTTATTTCCCCTCCGCAGGGCGGGGTTTCCCGGCTTCGTGGGTGGGGCAGGGGCGCAGGTTCTGCTGCTTCCGCTTCTCCTCTGTTACCGCAACTTCCCTCTCCGGGCAGTTTCCCGCTTCACCGGTTTATCTTACCTGTCCCGGTTCTCGCAGGGACCTGCCGCTTTTTTTCCTTATTAATTGTTTTGATGGGAGAGCTCACTCCTTGCCTTTCCTCTCGGCCCTGAGGATCAGCTGACTTCCCGAGACTGGAATGCTTGCGTCACACCAGCCTCCCGGGAGGGACAGAAAAGGAGGACATGGATCCTGTGGTTCAATGGAGCATCAGCTCCACCAACCTGGGCTGATCCAAAAAAGTTAAGGCGTGAAGCAGGAAAGACTTTAAAGGTCACGGGACGCCTGAGACCCCAGAAAAGCTGTTCCTCTCAATGCTAGCACACGTAACATTGATGCTCTTGCTCTTAGTACTATTAGGTTCCATTCCATTATTATTGTAAGTAATACTATTACGGGAAAGAATGTCATGAGCAAACTCCATACAGGCTTTGTGGCCTCCACCCCCACTCCATCAAGACACTGGAAACTACAAATCCCATGATCACCAAAGGGAGGGTTATGAGGACCTGAGGGCAGAGTTAAACAACTATGTTCTCTGTTTGAGTATTTAACTGGCCAAGTGGCCAGGGGTCACTCTTTTGGCCACATGATGCACTCAGTTTTTCACCAGCTCAGCAGGTCATTGGGATTCCAGGTCAGTGGAACGGGTAGGACACATTTACAAACTTAGCTCCCTCTTTATCTCCCTGAGTTATTCATTTCTCCTTCCCTTGTAAATAAACCTTTCATCAACCTTCTTGTGTATGTCTGCAGTTTAGCATTAATAAGTCCCCTTTAGGTGCCCGGGTGAGGACCCACCGTCAGGCAACCCATTTATATTGGAGTTGCTGTGCAACAATATCACCTATTGTACACCTATAGTAAACCCACCTGTATTTAATTTACTCCCATGTTGAAGGTCTGAGAGAAGTAATGGCACCTATTCTGCATTCATTAATTTACTGGAGGAAATGGGCTTCCCCCTTCAGGTCCACTAAGAAATTGTAGTACTAAATGTAACCAAGGTTATCAGGGTGGATGGCATTTCCTTGTTCATGATTCGTTTTTCGTCACAGAAGATCTGCCCATGTGTGCCCTTGCTACCCACAGCTTTGGTCATTATTGCATCCCTTTTCAAACTCAATGGTATATGAATCACATTTATCTAGGTACAGATGTCAAAAATCACAGTAAAATAATGAAACATCAAATTTTCATTCAAATACCAGGAGTATGTGGTATAACAATATTGAGTAAAAACTTGCCTAAACCTAATGTCCCCATCTGTTCTCATCCCCGGGTACCACTTGGAGAAGGCCTGGACCCAAATTGGGTCATCTGCAGATCAACTCATCGACAGTAAATTATGTTTTCTAGCTGGTCCCTAGAAATTGGGGACCTTGAAATGTATTGGTCCAGAAAACTAACAACCTGGAACTGGGTTCTTCCATTTAATTATTATGGCTATCCTGGACGCTGGAATCCAGGTTTAGCTGGGCCTTCATTAAGAATCAGACGTCGAGAATAGGGACCTTTCTTCACTAAGACTGCTTGAAAGCTGCAGAAGGCTCCTGGAGGAGTCGAAGGTGAGTGGGGAAGTTCGCCCATGACAGGCCCCTTCTGGCCAACAGTCCCAGCCCAGAGTGGGAACTGGCATCCAGGGCCGGGGCAGACCCAGAGTGCTAGAGAGTGTGCCTGTCTCCGAATCACCATTTTAGAATAGGGACCTTTCTTCAGTAAAGACTGCTTGAAAGCTGCAGAAGGCTCCCAGAGGACCCAGAGGTGAGGTGGGAAGTTCATCCACACCAGGCCTCTCCTGGCCAGCAGTCTGAACCCAGAGGGGGAGCGGGCAACCACGGCCAGGGCAGACCAGGCATGCCGTAGAGTGCATCTGTCTCCAAAGCGCCATTTTAGAACAGGGAACTTTCTCCAATAAAGACTGCTTGAAACTGGCAGAAGGCTCCCCATGGAGCCAGAGGGAGAAGGTTCCCTGCGTAGTCAGAGGTGAGCTGAAGGCCCCAACAAGCCCGTTCCCACCTGGCAGGAAATCATAGCCCAGAGGGGGATCTAGAGATTTGGAATCCAGAGTGCAATCCAGCTGCCCCATCTCCAGGGAAGTCTGTGGGGCTTCAAGACACACCTTTGGAATTAAGCACAGAAGGAGGAGATATTCTGTGACAGTGACCATTAACATAATCAAAGTACCACTGCCTCACTAGACTTCTGGCATAACAGTATTTGACTTGTTTCGATTGCCAGTTTCTGAAACTCCCGAAAGAACACAACAAAAAGAGGCCGGCCAGTACCAGCAGCACAGTGTCCCAACACATAAGGCAAATTAGAAGACAGGCAGCAGGGAAAAGAAAAACTATAAGCAACGTAGCAACTCCTCAGGAAAAAGACACACCACAAAAAGAAAACCACCCACGAGCTTGCAACAACGGTGACTTGGAAGAACTTCTGAGCCTTCCAGAAAAATAATTTAAAATTGCCGTGATGAAAAAACTGATGGAAGTCATTAAGGAAAACAATGCTCAGAAGAATGAAATTGAGTCCCTAAAGAGGGAAATGAAGGAAATGCAGGAGATCAAAGGATTAACAGAAGAGCTAAAGGATGCCGGGAAAAGCAGTGATAACAGAATAGAGGAAATGGAAGAATGAATAAGCACTCTCAAAGACACAGAAATAAAAAGAACCAAAACAGAAAAGAAAAGTATGAAGGAAAAAGACTGAAGAAAGACTTTGGGAAATATCTGACTCCATGAGGAAAGGAAATATAAGAGTTATAGGAATCCCAGAAGGAGAGGAGAGAGACCTAGGAACAGAGAAAATATTCAAGGAAATAATTGAAGAGAACTTCCCAAACGTGAAGAAGGAGCTGAAAATTGACATACAAGAAGCAAGAAGAACACCAAACTTCCATGATGAAAGGAAAAATACAGCAAAACACATAATACTAAAGCTCCCAAGAATCCAAGACAAGGAAAAAATAATGAAGCTGACAGGAGAGAAGAAACAGGTAACGTACAAAGGAAAACCAGTCAGACTGACATCAGACTTCTCCAAAGAAACACTACAGGCAAGGAGAGAGTGGGGGGACATAGTCAACAGACTCCAAGAAAACAGATGCCAGCCAAGAATACTCTATCCCGCAAAGCTCTCCTTCCTCTATGAGAAAGAAGAAGGACCTTCCCATACAAACAGAAACTCTGGAATTTCATTATGACTAAACCACCACTCCAAAAAATACTACAAGGAGTCCTAAAGCCAGAACCTCAGGGGGACAAATAACAAAGAAAGAAGGCCAAAAAAAAAAAAAGCTATTAAAAGAATAAATAAATAAAATCAAAGGAAAGACAAACACAATGGCAAATACAGATGCTAACAAATCAATATTAACTCTGAATGTAAATGGACTAAACTCTTCAATAAAAAGACACAGAGTCACAGGCTGGATTAAGAAACAAAACCCAACCTTTTGCTGTCTCCAGGAAACACATTTAGCTACAAAGGATAAAAATAGACTCAAAGTTAAAGGATGGAAAACAATCCTACAAGCAAATGACCAAAAAAGAAAGTAGGAACAGCTATACTTATATAAGATAAAACAGATTTCAAACTCAAAAAGGTAAAAAGAGACCCCAACAGTCACTACATTATGATCAAGGAGACAATACTTCAAGAAGAAATAACACTCATTAACATATACTCATCAAACAAAGGAGCACCAAAATATATCAACTATTGTCATATTTGAAAACAGACATCAGAGAAAACACATACTAAGTAAGAGACTTCAGCACACCACTATCAACAAAGGATAGATCAACGAGACAAAAAATAAGTAAAGACACTAAAGCTCTAAATAAGGATCTAGAGCACTTGGGCTTAACAGACATCTATAGAACACTAAACCCAAAAAAATCTGAGCACATATTTTTCTCAAGTGCACACGGATCATTCTCCAGATTTGATCACATACTGCGACCCAAGACAAACATCAACAGATTCAACAAGATTGAAATCATACCAACCATCTTTTCTGATCATGAAGGCTTCAAACTAGAAATAAACCACAAAAAGAAGGCAAGGAACTCTCCTACCTCATGGAGATTGAGACCCACACTACTGGAGATCACTGGACTAATGAGGAGATCAAAGAAGAAATTAAAGAATTCTTTGGATTGAATGACAAAGAGGACGCCAATTTCCTAAATGTATGGGATGCAGCAAAAGCAGTAATAGGAGGAAAATACATAGCAATAGAGGCTCACATCAAGAAACAAGAAAGAACTCAAAGAACCAACCTAATCTCGAAGCTCAGAGATCTAGAAAAAGAACAACAAAAAAAACCCCAAAACCAGTAGAAGAAAAGAAATAATAAAAACCAAAGCAGAAATAAATGAAATCAAAACTAAAAAAACAGTCCAAAAAATCAACGAAACCAAGAGCTGGTTGTTCGAAAAAATAAATAAAATAGACAAAGCCCTAGCCAGACTCACAAAGGAAAAATGGAGAAAGCACAAATAAACAGGATTACGAATGAAAGAGGAGAAACCACAACAGACACAGCAGAAATCAAAAGAACAACCAGAAACTACTATGAACAGTTATATGGAAACAAGTTCAACAATATAGAGGAGATGGACAAATTCCTACAACTCTACAATTACCCAAAGCGAGATAAAGAAGAAACAGAACACATAAACAAACCAATTACAAGCAGTGAAATTGAAATGGTAATCAAAAACCTCCGCAAAAAAAAAAACCCAGGACCTGATGGATTTACAAATGAATTCTACCAAACATTCAGAGACGAATTAGTGCCTATCCTTCACAAACTCTTCCAAAAAATTGAGAAGGAAGGGACAATACCAAACATGTTCTATGAAGCCAACATTACACTAATACCAAAACCGAACAAGGACAACACAAAAAAAGAAAACAACAGGCCAATCTCACTAATGAACACTGATGCAAAAATCCTCAATAAAATTTTAGCTATCAGAATCCAACAATGTATCCATAAGATAATTCACCACAACCAAGTAGGATTCATTCCAGGGACACAAGGATGGTTCAACAACCTAAAATCAATCAATGTTATCCAACACATCAACAAAAAGAAATATAA